CAGAGGGTTTACTTTTTCTTTGATTCTCTACTTTACCAAGCATATCATTCTACAGAGTCTCTCCTGATAAAATGTTCAAAAAATGTAAGTTAAAGCTTCACCGTCCCCTCTTAAAAGGAGCATTCTGACAATACTTCTCCCAAGACAGATGAGGCTTAGAGTCTAGGTTTTACAGCTAGTGGTGATAGCACAGAAGATGTCATCATTTGGAATTCCAAAACTGACAGAAAGACGAGACTATTAAATGTATTATCTCAATATATTGTGTTTAAAGGCATTTCTGAGATGCCTGCTGGTTGTTCACTTAGTGTTGTTGCTTCTGCTGCTCTTCTGCCAGACATTTCCTTGACAAAGAACCAGGGAACCAGACAGAGCTTCCAGTATTTGTCCTCCTGGGACTTTCTTATAAAAAAGCCATTCTCTGGGTTGTTCCTGTTCATGTAGCTGCCCACTGTGCTTGGGAACTTGCTCATCTTTCTGGCCGCCATCTTGGAGTGCCATCTCCACATGCCTGTGTACTTCTCCCTATACAATCTGTCCTTTTCTGACATTTGTTTCACCCCATCATTGTCTCAAAGATGTTACTAAACATCCAGATGCAGAAAAGAGTCATTATGTATGTAGGCCACATACCACAGATGTGTTTTTTCTCACTTTTGGGACTTTAAGACTATTTGCTCCTGATTGTGACTGCTTATGATTGTGTTGTGGCTGTCACCCCCTGCATTAAATGGTCATCATGAACTCCTGGTTTGTCAGCATATGGGGGGCCCTTCAAGACAGTCTGACTGTGTGGTTGCTTTTATTCTGTGTAGTCACTGAAATCCCACACTATTTGTGTGAACTCACTGGGGTCCTCAAACTTGCTTGGCTCTAACATCTTCAGTAATGTGTTATATATTGTAACAGGCATAGGGGAGGGTCAATTCTCCTAGCTCATCTGAGTGGAGACTCCATGCCCTTAGTCCCAGAAGGCACCACTCTCCTCCACTTGGGCATGGAAGCCATGCCCCCTCAGCTTTAGGCAGCAGCCCCATTCTCTTGGCTCACCCAAATAGCAGCCCTCCTTCCAAAACCCACTTGGTGGAGACACAGGTGTTCGCTCCACCTTTTGTAATCTAGGAGGCTGTTGCTCCACCCTTTGAGACCTAGAAGGTCATTGATCCACCATTTGAAACATACGAGGTTGTGGGTTAACCCTTTGGAATTGAGTCAGCCCTGTTTCCAGTGTTCCTTCCAAAAGTACTGACCTTTGAGCTGCCCCAGGGACTGTCCTTTTCTTTTCTTGGAGGACAACAGATGTCAATTTTTTACCTTGTTTCCTGCCTATAGAATTTCAAGAGGCAGACAGCTTTCCTCCTTGTTGTCCTATCCCTGCCTACTTCATTCTAAGCTGATGAGTATTCTGCTATGGTAGTTGGTTAGATCAATCAGTCAGAGGCTTAAGATCTTTAACAACAGATTAACTCACCAATACCTTGGTGAGAGTCTTAAAGCACATGTCCTCGGTTTGTACAACATACCTTTCTAAATCCTATACTTCAGTTTTAATTTGGAACAGTTCATTTTTAAGTCAATCTTTTTCTTCTTATATTTTATTAAAGTAGCTGGAAGAAACCATGTGGCTACTTTAAGATCTTGCTTAGAAATCTCCTCAGCCAGATAGACAAATTCATTACATAAAAGTTCTATTATCCAACAAACATTAGAATATAATTCAGACAAGTTCTTTGCTAATGCATAAGAATATCACTCCTCCACTACTTTCCAATCACACGTTCATTACTTCCTTTTAAAACCTCATCAGAAGCACACTTAATGCCCACATGTCTAACAACCACTACTTATCTGTCTGTCATACTGTGGTGGTTTATGTGTTGCTATGATGCTGGAACCAATACCAGCAGTACTTCAAATACCAGGAAGGTCATCCACGGTGGCCAGGTTTCAGCAGAGCTTCCAGACTAAGACAGGCTAGGAAGGAGGAAGAAGGTCCTGGCAATATAATTCTAAAAAAAACCTGGCCAGTGAAAACCATATGAACAGCAGCAAACAATGTCTGATACAGTGCCAGAAGATGAGCCCCTCAGGTTAGAAGGCACTCAATATATGACTGGAGAAGAGCTGCCTCCTCAAATTAGAGATGACCTTAATGACATGGATGGAGTAAAGTTTTGGGACCTTCATTTGCCAATGTGGCACAACTCAAATGAGCAGATACAACTGTAATAGGAACGTGGAATGTATGAAGTATGAATCAATCCAGAAAACTGGAAGTTGTCAAAAATGAAATGGGGTACTTGAAGATCAAAATAGGCATTACTGAACTGAAATGGAGTGATATTGGCCATTGCAAATCAGACAATCATATGATTTACTATGCTGTAAATAACAAATGGAAAAGGAATGGGGTCACATTCAATGTTAAAAGAATATTTCAAGATCTATCTTGAAGTGTAATGCTGCCAGTGATAGGATAATATCCACAAACCAAAAAGGAAGACCAGTGAAGACAACTGTTACTCAAATTTGCACAATAACCACTAATACCAAAGAAGAAATTGAAGAATTTTACCAACTATTGCAGTCTGAAATTGATCAAACATATAATCAAGATACACTGGTAATTATTAATGATTGAAATATGTAAGTTGGAAACATAAAAAGGAGTAGTAATCAGAAAATAGGGCCTTGGTGATAGAAACAACATTGGAAACCACATGGCAGAATTTCTTAAGACAAAGGACCTAGTCATTGGAAATATCTTTTCTTCAAAAACATAAAATGTAGACCTCATCAGTTGGAATGCACAGGAATCAAATTGACTACATCTGTAGAAAAAAAAAAAAAAAAAACCAATGGAGAAGCTCAATATCATTAGTCAGAACAAGACTATGGGCCAACTATGGATCAAACCATTAACTGCTCATCTGCAAGTTCAAATTAAAGCTCAAGAACATTAGAACAAATCCATGAGACCCAAAGTATGATTTCAAGTATATCCCACATGAATTGACAGGCCATCTCAAGAATAGATTTGGTGGAGTCAACACTAATGACCAAAGACTAGACGAGTTATGGGATGACATCAAGGATATTATACACAAAGAAAAGCAAAAGGTGATTAAAAAGACAGGAAAGAAAGAAAAGACCAAAATGGTTATCAAGAGACTTTGAAACATACTCTTTAATAAAGACTAGCTAAAGCAAATGGAAGAAACAATGATGTAAAAGAGCTGAAGAGAAGAATTCAAATGGCAGCTTGAGAGGAGAAAGTAAGGTATTATGTTGAATTGTGCAGAAACTGGGAGTTAGAAAAACAAAATGGAACAACATATAATGATATTTCTCAAGCTGAAAGAACTGAAGAAAAATTCAAGACTCGAGTTGACATACTGAAGGATTCTATGGGCAAAATATTACATGAGGCAGGAAGTATCAAAACAAGATGGAAGAAATACAGTCATTGTTCCAAAAATAACTTGTTGATCTGGTAGTATCTGATCGAGAAATGACAGTAATGAGGAAATGGAAGCAGCAATGAAGGCACTGGCTAAAAACAAGGATCCAGGAATTGATGGAATACCCACTGAGATGCTTCAACAAATGTATGCAATGCTGGAAGCCCTCACTAATTTATGCCAAGAAATTTGGAAGACAGCTATCTGGCCAAACCAGTTGGAAGTGACCCATACTTGTGCCCATTACAAAGAAAAGTGATCTAACAGAATGTGGAAATTATTGAACAATACTATTAACATCACACACAGGTGAAATTTTGCTGAAGATAATTCAAAACTGGTTGCAGCAGCATGTTGAGAAGGACCTGCCAGAAATTCAGCCTGGGCTCAGAAGAGAACATCAAATGAGGGATATCACTGCTAATGTCAGATGGATCTTGGCTGAAAGCAAAGAATCCAAAGAATACCAGTAAGATGTTTACCTGCATTTTAATGACTATACAAAGACATTCAACCATATGCATCATAACAAATTATGGATAACAGTGTGAAGAACTGGAATTCCAGAACACTTAATTGTGCTCATGAGGAACCTTCACATAGACCAACAGGCAGTCATTTGGACAAAACAAGGGGATATTGCATGGTTTAAAATCAGGAAAGGTATGCATCAGGGTTGTATCCTTTCACCATATTTATTTAATCTGTATGCTGATTGAACAAACCGAGATGCATGAAGAATGCGGCATCAGGATTGGAGGAAGACTGATTTACAACATGCAATATGAAGATGACACAACCTTGCTTGCTCAAAGTGAAGATGACTTGAAACACTTGCTGATTAACATCAAAGACTGCAGTATAGGTTACACTTCAGCATAAAGACAACCAAAATCCTCACATCTGGACCAGTAAGAAGCACCACAATAAATGAAGAAAAGATTGACATTGTCAAGGATTTCATCTGACTTGGATCCACAACCAAAGCCCATGGAAGCAACAGTCAAGAAATCAGACATCATATTGCACTAGGCAAATCTGCTGCAAAAGACCTCTTTAAAGTGTTAAAAAGCAAAGTTGATGCTTTGAAGACTAAGGTTTACCTGACCAATGCCATGGCATTTTCAATCACCTCATACATATGCAAAAGCTGGACAATGAACAGGAAGACCAAACAATTGATGTCTGTGAATAATGAGACAGGCAAAGAATACTGAATTTAGCGTGGAATGCCAGAAGAAAAAACAAATCTGCATTGGAAGACGTAACGCCAGAATGCTCCTTAGAAGCGAGGATGGTAAGGCTTTATTGCATATAGTTTCTAAAGGTGATCAGGAGGGAACAGTCCTTGGAGAAGGACATCAAGCTTGGAGTAGACTGTCATCAAAGAAGAAGATGACCTTAAATGAGACGGATTGGCACAGTGGCTACAGCAGCTGGCTCAAACATAACAAAGATTGTGAGGATGGTACAGGACTACAAAGTGTTTTGTTCCGCTTTTTGTGGGATTATTATGAGTTGAAACTGACTCAATGACACCTAATACCAACACTCTTTACATCCATGTCTCTGATCATTGTGAATTCTTATATGTGTACTGAGGTTTGATGACTTACTAAAGGCTTTCCCACATTCCTTACATTCATAAGGCTTTTCTCCACTGTGAGTTCTTATATGTGTAGTGAGGGCTGAGGAATCACTAAAGGCTTTCCCACATTCCTTACATTTATAAGGTCTCTCTCCACTGTGAGTTCTTATATGTGTAGTGAGGTGTGAGGCCTGACTAAAGGCTTTCCCACACTGCTGACATTCATAAGGCCTAACTCCACTGTGGGTTCTTGTATGCGTAGTGAGGGATGAAGAACGACTAAAAACTTTCCCACATTCCTCACATTCATAGGGCTTCTCACCAGTGTGAGTTCTTATATGTGTAGTGAGTGCTGAGGAATCACGAAAGGCTTTCCCACATTCCTTACATTTATAAGGCTTTTCTCCACTGTGAGTTCTTGTATGTGTGGTGAGCGCTGAGGAATCACTAAATGTTTTCCCACAGTCCTTACATCCATAAGGTCTCTCTCCACTGTGAGTTCTTATATGTGTAGTCAGGTGTGAGGCCTGATTAAAGGCTTTTCCACATTGCTTACATTCATAAGGCCGAACTCCACTGTGGGTTCTTATATGCGTAGTGAGAGATGAAGAACGACTAAAGGCTTTCCCACATTCCTTACATTTATAGGGCTTCTCTCCAGTGTGAGTTCTGACATGTGTACTCAGGGCTGAGGAATCACTAAAGGCTTTCCCACATTCTTTACATTTATAAGGCTTCTCTCCACTGTGTGTTCTTATATGTGTAGTGAGGTTGGAGGAACACCTAAAAGCTTTCCCACATTCTTTACACTCATAAGGCCTCTTTGCACTGTGAGTCCTTGTATGTTGAGTGAGGGATGAGGCCTCACTAAAGTGTTTCCCACATTTCTTACATTCATAATGCTTATCTCTGCTATGAATTTTTTTATGTAAAATGAGGGATGAGAGATGACTGTATGCTTTACAATATTCTTTACATTCACTCTTATGACCTCTCACATGTGTACAAAAGGATGAGAAACTACAGAAATCTTTCCCACATTCATTACAGTCATAGCATTTCTCACCAATGCATGCTGTTACAGGACTTGTTAGGGGTGAGATACAAATGAAGTCCTTCCAACATACCTTACATTTATGGGGTTTCTCCTCATTAAGAGGTATTATAGGGGTTGTTAGGGGAGAGAGACAACTGCTGGCTTCTACACATTTCTTATATGGACAGGTACTGCATCCACTGTAGGATCTGATATGGTGCTCATATGATGAACAATCCATGAAGTCTTTTCTAAACTCACAGCATTCAACATGATTTACTTCTGGAGTAATTCGTTTTAGCACAGTAGGATTTGGACTCTGGCTGAAGGCTTTACCACACTGACTGTCTTCATTACTTTCACAGAGGTTCTCTTCCACATGAGTTCTGTTAAAAATAAGCAATAAGTTGTCGGGAGTAAATTTGTTCCCATTTTATAATTATCGAACACAGTGAATGTGCATGGTTTTTGCCCTGATTTCTCTCATGTTTTATAGGTTAAATCATCTAGCAGAAATATTACTTCACTGTTTTTCTAAAATATGTGGCTTTCTGATAATTGTGTCCAAGTGAAATGTGTTTCAAATGCTTGATATCTAATTTACACTTATGAAAAAGCTGTATTGTGAAAATTCTCTGAACACATAATTTTACAGCTAGGCTTACATATACAAACATATATAAATATACATATATACATATACATATATACATATGTTGTTTTGTTGTTGTTTGCTGTCGAGTCGTATACATATATATATATATATATGTGAATTTTAATGTCATGACACCTTACAACTTTGCCCTGATGCACTGCTTTCTGTTATTCGAATGACACTCACCTCAAATATCTTTCCTGGTTTTTATGCTGATCATTATTGCCATGGGATTTGGAGATTTCTCCTAACATGGAGGACCAAGTATTATTCTTCACGAATTGCACTATTATATGTTCACCGGATAATTTTTTTCCATTGTTAAGGTTTCGAGAGACTGACTCAATAATTCAAGTCGAAGTTCATAACATGAAACAAAAAGGAAAGAGAAAAAAAGGCTGTTGTGAACAAAGACAGATGTAGCCACATTTCACTGTTTTAGCACTTTGTTGTTGTTGTTATGTGCTGTTGAGTCGGACCTGACTCATAGCTACTCCTCCTTGGGTTTCCGAGGCAGTATCACTACGGAAATAGATTGCCCAACCTTCCTTCCGAGGAGTGGCTGGTGGGTTTGAACCGCCAGCCTTCTGGTTAGCAGTCAAGTGCCTTAGGCACTATGCTACCAGAGCTCCCTTTTAGCACTTTGGCAATAGTTAAAAAGCAATTTCCTAGGAAGTACTTCCATGAGGATTAAGAGTAGTGAGGGATGAAGATTTTGACATAAATAGGCATAATTAGGAGAGCTAAGCAGAAAGATATTGGACACAATACACATATATCATTAAAAGAAGAAAAGGGTCTCCATGATCAGAGGAATGAGAGATTGTGAAAGTCTGAAAAGTAAGCTCAAGTAACTCTGAAATTTTGGCCTCAACCCAAGAAAGCCTTTCCAGCTGACTGATTCAAATGTAATATCCTCTAATGCAGGCCTGCTTCTTTAAAAATAGTCTTGTTTTCCTATTGTTCCCTGACACAGTGGCCCTGGATGAGTTCTATCTCTACTGTTCTTCCGCTTCTGGGGAAACAAGTGGGTTTAGCTGCCATAGTGCTCATGGAGAAATGGATATCATGAGGAAAGACAGTGCAGAGCAATGAACATGTCCTTGACACTGAGCCAATGCTGCTCTTTGGGGACTTAGAATATAGAAGGTGTGAGTTTATTTGCAGCAAAATAATCATGTCAAACTTGGGAGAAACACAGTAAAACTCTCTACAAAGTCCCAAAACACAAATCTCTCAGTACTCCAAAGTGAAGCATGAAGCCAATACTTACACATACAACACTTAAAGAGGCTTAGTATTTTTAATCAGAAGAGAAATGAAAAGCCATTTTAATATGTAGAACTTTCTGTTCATGGGGAAACTAGGATATATAAGCGCCACAGACCAAGGGACTATGTAACAATTTATTCTCATTCTGTAGCCCAAATACTGGAACATTCAATGAGTAAACCAATTTTTTGTTCATTAAAGAAAATTTAAAAAATAAAAAACATGCCATTCTTACCCACTGAGGCCAGGTTTCTGAAGGTTTCCATCATCACGTCTCTGTAGAGTTTCCTCTGATCAAGATCCAGCAGAGCCCACTCTTCCTGGCTGAAGACCACAGCAACATCCTCAACGACCACCGAGTCCTAAAACATCCCACACATTCTAGATCAGCACGTACCATTTACTCCAATGAGTACAAGAACAAAGGGTGAGGCAGTCACGGGGAACTGAGAATTAATAGGGATTTGACACAACGTTCTGTTCTACCAAGGTCTCCTTTAGGGTATAGTCATCAGCCTCATTGCTTTCTGAATCACAGACTTCTGACACACTGAATAATACCTCCACAGTTTGGCTGAGACCAATTGCAGTCTTATTCTTCTCTAGGGTCTAGAACAGTTGGAATGCATAGCAAAAATCAGGGAAATGTTCACTTCTTTGTGAACAAACAATTGCAACTTTCATAAGACCCATCAGAACACTCAAAAAACATAAAGCACAGGGTGAAGGCAAGATAAGGTTTTAACAATTGGGAGACATGAAAGAATGGCAGTTTTTGCTTTTGCCCCTTAGAGCCATGGGAGGATGAGGGGCCTGCATAAACAAACTGGAAACCCGAGGCCCTGAAATGGCCATATTCTCTTCAACTCCAGGAGATCAAGGGGTTACAGGTCCACCTGCTGAAAACAGAATAATCTTTTGGAAAATTATGAATTTTTACATGTCATTCACCTATTTTTCAAAAACTCAGTTGTTCTATCATCCCCTCTGTCATAGAGACAGGCAAAGGCAATGACAGTTAAAAAGAGCTCAGGTGAAAGACAGAAAACAGAATTCAGACCTCCTCATACTTCTCAAATTTTGAGACCTGATGCATCTATACACCAATTGCTACTGTTCCCTCAAAAAATATAAACTCATACACCCTCACATAAGCACAGTCTAATGTTAAGACAAAGAGCCCGATCTTAAAAGAGATAAAAATAGCATACTCTTGTGTTTGCTCATGAGCTTGATTCCCATTGATAATGACTGCACAACATGGTAAATATAATCAATGCTACCAAGTTATACATGTAAAAACTGCTGTACTGGCATATGTTTTGTTATATATAAAATGAAAAAAAAAAATAAAACACAACAAAATTAAATTTGTAAGTAAGCTAAAATGCAGAGCCTTCACCTGTTAAATGGCCCATGAAGCCTCAGAAACACACTTACACTCGAGCTCTCCAGGGGCTCCACTCCAAAATTCTCTCACATTTGCAACCTCTGGAAGGCACAGTCATGATTACCTGAACCCTGACCAATGGAATTCCCTGGTCTTTAAGAGTGACCTCTTAGAAATAGCACCAATCCATTGGCAACCTAATGAAATGAAGAGGAAAAGGCTGATAAAGTACATTTTGGGTGTTAAAACAGAGCAGCTTTAGAATAAGAAGATTCCTCTTGTCAGGGAAGTGGTGAAGTGGCCATCTATGTCATTTCTAACCAATCATGTCATGATGGTGTCAGAAAAAACTTTAAGCTAGAGTCAAAATCCAAAACTCTACTCCATTCCATTGGGGAAGGGTTATATTAAAGTTCATTATGCAATATAGTAATGATAAAATATTCCATGCATTGAGCAACCACAATCTGTGAAACTTTTGCAAAAGATTTCCAACATACTACTTCAACTGTAAAAATTCAAGCTTCGAGTTGCAATATTGAAAGATTCTATGGGCAAAATATTGAATGATACAGGAAACATCAAAAGATGATGGAAGGAATACACAGAGTCACTGTATCAAAAAGAATTGCTCAGTGTTCATCTATTTCAGGAGGTGGCATATGATCAAGAACCAAAGGTATTGAAGGAAGAAGTCAAAGCTGCACTGAAGGAATTGGCAAAAAACAAGGCTCTGGGAATTGACAGAATACCCATTGAGATGTTTCAACAAATAGATGCCATGCTGGAGAGACACTTACCCATCTATGCCAAGAAATTTGGAAGACAGCTACCTGGCCAACTGACTAGAAGAGATCCATATTTGTACCTATTCCAAGAAAGGCGATCCAACAGAATGTGGAAATTAATCAACAATATCATTAATATCAAACACAAGTAAAATCTTGCTGAAGATAATTCAAAAACAGTTGTAGCAATATACCGACAGGGAACTTCCAGAAATGCAAGCTGGATTCAGAAGAGGACATGGGATGAAGGAAATCATTATTGATGTCAGATGGACCTTGGCTGAAATCAAAGAATACCAGAAAGATGTTTACTTGTGTTTTATTGACTATGCCAAAGCATTTGACTGTGTGGATCATAACAAATCATGGATAACATTGAGAAGAATGGGAATTCCAGAACACTTAATTCTGCTCATGAGGAAACAGTACATAGATCAGGAGGCCATCTTTTGAACAGAGCAAGGGGATACTGCATGGCTTAAAATTAGGAAGCGAGTACGTCAGGGTTGTATCCTTTTACCATACTTATTCAATCTGTATGCTGAGCAAATAATCCTGGACTATATGAAGAAGAACATGGCATGAGGATTAGAGGAAGACTCATTAATAACCTACAATATGTAGATGAATCCACCTTGCTTGCTGAAAGTAACATGACTCGAAGCACTTACTGATGAAATGAAAGATTACAGTCTGCCGTATGAATTACACCTCAATAGAAAACAAAAATCATCACAACTGGACCAATAAGCAGCATTATGATAAATGGAGAGAAGAATGAAGTTGACATTTCATATTACTTGGTTCTCCTATCAACACCAGTGGAAGCAGCAGATGATGTATTATGCTGGGCAATCCACTGCAAAAGACCTGTTTCATGTGCTGAAGAGCAAAGATGTCCCTTTGAAGACTAAGATGTGCCCAACCAAAGCCATGGTATTTTCAATCGCCTCATACACATGTGAAAGCTAGATGATGAAGAAGGAAGACCAAAGAAGAATCGATGCTTTTGAATTGTGGTGTTGGTGAAGAATACTGCAAGTACCATGGACTGCTAGAAGAATGAACAAATCTGCCCTGGAAGAAGTGCTGCCGAAATGCTCCTTGGAGGCGAGAATGGCCAGGCTTCATCTCACCTACATGGTCATGCTGTCAGAAGGGACCATTCCCTGGAGAAGGATATCATGCTTGGTAGGGTGGAGGGTCAGCGAAAAAGGGGAAGGCCCTCAATGAGATGGACTGACACAGTGGCTGCAATGATGGGCTCAGGCAGAGCAAGGATTGTGAGGCTGGCACAGGACTGGGCCGTGTTCCATTCTGTTGTACACAGGGGCGCTATGAGTCAGAGCTGACTCGATGACACACAACAACAACAACAACAACTTCAATTGTATCTCACGACTCTCCTTCCAAACCAAACCAAACTCACTGGCATTGAGTTGATTCTGATTCATAGAGACCCCCTTTGGGTTTCTGAGGTGGTAAATCTTTATGGAAGTAGATTGCCCAGTCTTCCTTCCATGGAGTGGCTGGTGGGTTTGAACCACTAACCTTCTGGTTAGCAGTCAAATGCTTTAGATAGTACATCACCAGAACTCCTTACAACTCTCCTTAGCAGATAATATTTCAAATAGTTCATAGCTGAGTAAAACGAGGGACAATCAATCAATTAATCACATGCTGAATGGTGGCCATATGTAAAATTGCTGAGCCAGGATCACAATGTAGGTGAATTTGCCTATGACTTCTAAATTCTTGACAACTACTTACTGTTCATATACAGTGTTACGGTTATTCTAGCTGTCATTCTCCAGTAACACCATAAATGATCTATAGTGCTGCTAGATAGTAGGGCGAGGGGACAAAGGAAATAGCCTATTCAATTCACACAACCTGGACTTTTCCTGGCTAAGCCCTGTGTCTCAGACCACAGTCTTTCTTTTCAGATTTTTAATTGTGGTTACCTTCATTCCTCAAAAGCGACTTAGGTAATACTGGCACAACCTACTTCATGTTGGCAAAGCACATACAGCAGAGAACAAAACAAAAGTGTCCAGATGAACAAAGATCATAGGTTCTTTGAGCGTGGACAGTAAATTTTAAAAAGATCATCTATCTATCTATCTACACACACACATACATGCCTCACACACATTATGTACATACAGAGGTATGTATTGCTTAACACCTGTTGGAACAATGTCTGACCACATATATGTCCATGGTCCCATAAGGCTTTTATTTATTTTTATTTAAAGGGAAAGCAGCTCTCCCTTTGTTTATTATTTCTCCCCTAATGGTTTTAAAGACCCCAAACTCAGACTTTCGCAGTATTAGACCACAGGTGAGATAAGGCAGGTAAGGCAGAGGACACGGCTATGGACATGGGCCCCTGGGTTTTGCCTGAAGCAGACTACGATGATTTTGCTTCTACTGCTCAGAGAGATGGAACAGCAGGTGAAGCAGCACATGCTTTGGTTCCAACCCCCACGCTTCCCCTGCTCTGCTCCCGCTATTGCCTTCACCGTCAGTTCACCATGCTTCTCTCAGTGGCTCTAGTAGCAGCAATGGTGGCAGCAACAACTGGAAGTGGGCTCCCCTAAGGTTTTAATAAGGTGTTCACCAATGTCCAAATCTCATAATGTTCTACTTCAGAGAACGTATCACAGACATTAAATGACACGTGCTTGTATTTGTGTGTGTCTGTGTGCAAAATGTCAGCACTTTCTGTGGAAAATGGAGCACAGTAAGGGGATAAGATGCTAGCAACACAAGTATATGTATCTTCAGTGAGTTAATGCAGGTAGCAAGACAGTCGTTTTCTAAAGCATTAGCTAGTGCAACCAGGAGTGGTAAGAGTGAGAAAGACAGCACTTACCATTCTAAAAACGTGGAAGCAGATCATGGTGATTTTGCAAACACTCACACACACTCTCAGGCTTGTCAATTTCAGCCAATCCTAACTTAGTGGCACAGGAGTCAAGAAGCTTTGCTAGCCTTCATGCCCAGGAGAGGGAGATACATTGCTTATGCCCAGAAAATAAAAGGGCATTAGCAGTAAGCTACACATGTAAATTTGGGAAAATGGAAAAACAAAAAGCAGTATAAATAAAGAGCATAAACAAAATAACATGAAAATAAAGACCATACAAAAGTAATCACACAAAATACAAATGAAGACTTCCAGTTTCTGGACTGAAAT